GGTGCTGGGGGATTGAACCGCGGTCCCTGTGCTTTGCTAAGCTTGTTCTAAGTAGGTGCTTTAGACCACTGAGCCATCTCACCAGCCCCAAGCATAATGTATTGAGCAGAATTCCACTGAGGTGTGGTCAGGCACACTTATAATCCCATCTTCAGGAGGCTGAAGTAGGAGCATTCAAAGTTTGAAGCTAGCCTGGGCAATTTGAGAAGACTCAATCAATCAATCAATCAACTTTTTAAAAAGGCTAGGATGTGCTTGGCAGTAGAGTACTTGCCTGAGATGGAAGTCCTAGGCAGATCCAAGTTTTACAAAAAGTCTCATTTCACACACTATATCTAGTGTCATGGGAAGATAGCATATGGAAGGCAGCTATCTGCAGAATTTACCAACAGTCAGGCAGTATAGAAAAGTTAAGAGTTAATTGATACACTGGCAAAGAGCACTGGGTGAGTTCCACGAGAGGACAGTAAAGGCTAGGAAGTAGCAGAACTCTATGTTTAATTTCAGTGTGAGAAGGGGGTCTGAGAATGTCATCCTAAGAACACTTTGATCAGGTCATAGTGGTCCTATGGCCCATCCTCCATAGATGTAACCATAGCTAACTGTTGCTTGAAGAATATCATTTTTTGTTTGGCAGAGTCCAGAATTAATGTAGTCACTAGAAACAATCTCTCCAGGCAAAAGTAATAAACAAATGTGTAAAGATTAACTGGGGTTAGTGGCCAAGGGAGTTCGGATAAAGTATACAGTATATGTCTGCATTTGAAAGAGACTTTTCAAGTTCTACTGAGCTGGGGGAAGAAATCGTTCTTCAAGACCTGTCAAGAAGTTAGAATAACCAACGTTTGCACGCAGAGCTTGCAAATGGTATATTAAAGATTCATCATTCGGTTTCAGTATGGCCTTTAAGAAAATAATAGTAAAGTAACAATGGTCTCCCAAGTTAGGGACCAGTTTTAAACTATCAGATACTGGTCTCCTTGTCAAATAAACATCACATCCTTTGTTCCAGACGGACTGAGCAGAGGGTTGTGGGAAATGTAGTTTAACCCTCAAGAATGACGTCTCTGGAGAACGTCCGGCTTTCTTTTACGCATGCGTAATCCCGCCCATACGTCAAAAAATTTTTTTTCCTCCCGGAAATTCCTGGTCCAGCCGCTTCCAATAGCTGCTCCTCTGTCTGAGGTGTTGCGTTCTCCGTCCCTGAAGGTTTTACGAGGGCGCAAGCGCTGCTTTGACCTGGGGAGCGGGCCAGGTATCCCGCTCTTGGCGGTAGCGGGGTCGCGGGTGGGTCTGGGCGGCAGGACCGGAGAGGGTCCGGGAGGCCACGTGAAGGTCGGGTCCGCGAGCTGCAGGCTGCGGAGCTGCGACTCAGCTGTGCTTTCCCGAGCGCTTGGTTAGGATGTCAGAGGCTGGGCGTGTGGCTGCGGGTGTCCAGAGCGTGGCTCTAGAAGCTCCGCCAGGGAGGCGGCGGAGGGGTGAGGTGGCGGGGGCCGGCCTGCGGAGCCCCCTGGCGGGCCGGGGCGGGCCGGGGCGGGCCGGGAGGGAGCCCGTTCTGGCCGGAGCGACATCCGCTCACCCGTCTGTAAAATGAAGAGGCTTATCAGTCCTAGTGGAATGGCCTCCAATTCCATGAGAAGTGATAGTGTGCGGACCGAGCCTTTTGTATGTGGCGGTTGTGTCTGTGGGCATGTAGTGTCTCTTCAGTAAGCGAAACTTCTGGTCTCTTAACACTGTAACCTGACTGGCGTCGTGCTTTCAGTTTACAGAAAATTTCACCAGTCCGAAAGGGAGACTGGGATGCTGAGTAATAGACCATTTTCTTTAGAAAAATGCAGGTGGTGCAAAGTTTGGAATCCCATCTGAGACCTCTCAGTAGCACTTCAGAGAAGGGGCACAGTGTCTCAGAGAGTTGAAGTTCCTCTCATTGCCTGGACCAAGCATTTAATTATTGATCCTGTTGTCTAGACGAAAGAACATCTGGGTGACTACCATCTTCTCCAGAAAGAGGAATCAGGTGCTACTGGAGGGTTCAGATTAACTTTCCAGAGGAAGATGTAAGCTGAGCTGAGAAGCCAGGCCAGGACTTGGGGAATGTTTCTGAAAGGAGAAGTCTGCAGGGTGTGGTGTGGAAGTATGTCCTGTGACTCTGAGAAGGCATCTTCTGTGCTAAAACACCCATTCGTACCATCTTCTTTCTTCCCCAGTGTGAGAACTTAAGAAATTTAGCAGATTTAACATCTGAGAATGATCCTTTTGTCCCATTCTCTCTCATAGTTCAGGAAGAATTGGCTGTTTTTCTTAAAAAGTATTTCTGCTTTTTAAGAAACACACAAAACATGGGTGTCACACAGATAAGTGACTTGACCAGGGACGCTAGATATGTAGATGTCAGATACATCTTGATTGTGTGCTATTGTATCCATTTTGCACATTTAAAATAAATATTTTCCTAATCTTGAGATCATTTGAATGAGACAGGTCAATTTACGAACATTCAGATTTGGCCAGTTTTTGTAATGTTTATTTTTCTCTTTTATTTGTTTTGTCTTTTGAGAGTGGGTTTTGCTATGTAGTTCAGGTTGGCCTTGCACTTACTATGTAGCTCAGACTGGCTGTGAACCTGCAGCAGTCCTCCTGTCTCAGCTTTCTAGGTGCTGGGATTAGGCGTGGACCACCACACCTGGCTATTACTGTGTTTTTTGTAGTGCTGTGGTTCAAACCCTGCGAGTAACACCTGATAAGCAAGTGTTAGGCCAAGTGCTACAGCTCCAACTCTAGAATGTTGATTTAAGAACTGGGTTTCATTGTTTATCTTCTTTTGTCTTTAAAATAATAATAAAAAAACTTTTCCCAAACATGGCTATCCCTTGATATCCCCAGTATTTTCTGTGCATTATGTGATTGAAAGGGTAAATCACCGATATGTTTCCTACTTAATATATCAGTAATCTGTTCCTAAAAATCATGAGTTCTGTGGGAAAGTAGTAACAACCTATTTTACATTATTTGAAAAGGGAAAATTAAACTGTGTCACTCTTGAGTTTCAAACCAATAAAATATAAAAATAATTCAAAGCTCATTTATGTAACAGCTTGTTTTTGTGGTGTAAAATCCTTATCCTTCTCATCTCCAGATACTTGTATTTGAATCATTAGGCTTCAGCTGTATGGCAGTCCATCCATTTGATGTTTATTCTTTATTTTTTCCAAAGCTTTAAGAGTTTTTAAAAATTTATTTGGTGTGTTTGGAGACTTTCGCCCTACTTCCCAGGATGTTAAAACATTAAATTCTAAGTCCTTTAAGTTGACAGCCTTTGCTGTATAATAAATTGACAATAATTTGAAGAAACCATTTCATTTGATTGCTTTCCTCTGATGAACATGTGAACTGGAGTCAGCTGGAATCTGGAAGATTCCTATACTGGTGATACCTGGGCTCACAGAGAGCCTTCAGTCACCTCATTCTTGCCTGAGGGTGGCTGGTTCCAGATGACGTCACACCCTCAAGTCCTTATGCTCACCCTTAGGGAGCCTGTTTCTGGAATGGTTGTCCCAGGTTTCTCATGAGCTGACAGTGTCCAGGAAGGCAAGCACCAGTGAGCCAGTTCTTTTAAAGCTTAGGTTTGCATCACATTTAATAATGTCCTCTCGGCCAAATCCAGCCAATGGCAAAGCCAGGTTCCCATCCTTGGGGACTGTTAGAGGGTGTGGGTACATGCATGTGCCTCATGGGGAACCAGTACTGGAATTGCAGAGGTGTGTACTAAATACATTGTTTTCCTGTAAGAGAATGTGCAGAACACGTTGAGCTGCACATACAGTGGTCCCTCACTTGTGGAGGTTACCTTCCAGACAAAATCAGCGAAGTAGCATTGCTGTATTTATTTTAGTATTTATATATTTTAAGGTTTTATAAGCCTTTCCCACACACTTATAAACCTTTCCCACACTTTTAAAAACACTTCTGGGCTGGGGATGTAGCTCAGTGGCCCAGTGCCTGCCTAGCAAGTGTGAGGCCCAGAGTTTGATTCCCAGTACCAGAAAAAGAAAATAGTGGGCCGGGGAGATGGCTCAGTGGTATAAGCGCTTCGCTTCTCTGGCAAGCGCAAGGGCCTGAGTTCAATCCCTGGTTCCGCAAAAAAAAAAAAAAAAAGTAAAGATAAGACCTAAAAATTCCCTTTGGGAAAAAAAATAAAAACACTTCTAATACTCTTAACCATTTTCTAAACTCATAAACCTACGTAATTTTAACAACATACATATACTGTACAGTACAGTATATATTTACCTGCTAAAGAAATACATACTGTAAGAGTATATTTTATTTTGATTTAATATTCTTTTAATGTTAGAATTAATATTTTTAATGTTTTTGTATATTTAAAATTTTTAAGGCAAAAATTAAAGCCATAAATACTACGTATATAAATACATATACAGTACTACACAGCAACACAAAATCCCTCAATATAGTGAAAAATCCATGATAAAGAACTTAGATTAATATTTTTTGAAAACCCGTGAAACAGTCCATGAAAGTTGAACCACGAAATAGTGAGGGATTACTGTATGTGAAAGCCAGAGATGAAGTAGAGGAAATACTCATGTGCACTTTGCAGGATGTTCATAAAAGAGTTTGCATGGTCCCTGGGTATCTCCATGACGTTAATGTTAAGTCTAATGTTGCTCTGGTCTAAATTAATTAGCTCTTTTTTAAGGGAACATTAGCAGTTGGTAAATCAGTTGATAATGTATATTTTTATTAAACCTATAATCAGTTTTAATCGAATCTCCCAACCAATGACTGAATTTGGGTATGTCTTCAATGACCCCCCCCCCCCCCGTCTTTTTTTTTTTAATTTTGAGGCAAGATCTCTGGATAGTCCAGGGTGTTTTTCTGTGTAGTCCAGCCCGGCCTTGAACTTGTGATAGTCTTGCGTCCACCTTTCATGTAGCCTGGCTTTTGTTATCCTTTCTGGGGAAGGGATTATATTCCTAGAGTTTATTTGCTTGTTTTGCCTTTTCTAGAGAACATGTGAAGTGTTTTGAGGAGGATGAGCTAGGTCTGTGCCTGCCTGTTGTCTCATGACTTTCTTATATTTGGCTTCTCTCAGCTATGCCTCCGGAGTCCTCTGTGTGCTTCACAGAGCAACAGAAGATGAATAAATCTCCGGTGAGTTGTTCATGCCTTGCTTTGCTTTGCTTTTTTTTTTTTTTTTTTTTTTTTTTTTTTTAACCAGCTCTCTGAGGTTCATCATTTGAAATGAAGAGTGTTATGAAAACTCAGCTCTATGGAAGTGGACACAAATAAGACAGAATTAGCATAGATGAAAACTTGAAAGGCATCTGCGTTTTAATTTTTTATTGGATAAAGCATGCAGTAATATGTACACAACCATGAATTTTTATGTAAGTTCACAAAACTGCAGACTGATCAAGACCGAATGGTTGCCAGCATCCAGGCAGCTTCCTATAGCGTTTGGATCTTATTTTTGTGCAGAACAAGACAAATTGAATTTTGTCTGCAATATTTCCTCTATTTCAACTTGAGGATAGAAACTTAACAAAACCAAGGGTTTAGAGCATCGGTGTCTCCTGTATTGAACTCAGTGTTGAGTGCAGTTTAGCTCTGGTATTTTCGATGCTGTGGACAAAGTCAACACATTTGTTCATGATTTGGATAGAACCTGAGGAGAGAGCGTGGTGACGTGTTATAGCATACAGTTGGCACATCAAGGGCTAGCACATTATCTTCATAGAGGATATAGTACGATGTTTTTCATCACTATCTTGGAAAACAAACATTTTTAGGATTTCTCAGTGTAAACAATAACCTGGTGCTAAAGGAAAATTCTTAATAGCTTGTTGTGGAGTTGTTGAAATGCTGTTTCCAGGCAGCTCTTGCAAGGCAATTGGTTCATGGTGAAAGCTCGGGTGTGTGGAGGATTGAGCTGACCATGGGTCATCCAGGGGCTGACTGGACCTGTGTCCCAGAGCCCAGCCGGTGCACACATGCAGCCCACACAGCATACTGGCCAGAGTGACGTTTCTTGGCAAATGTTCCCACTGCTCATCTGCACTTTAACCCAACTAGTATTGCCTTAGTTCACTTTTCATAAGTTCATTAATGATGTGCATTTTAGTTAAGTCCAGGGTTAATTGCCAGGCTGGGGATATAGCTCAGCAGTCTAAGTACCTACCTGGTAAGCACAAGGACCTGGGTTTGATCCCTGATGTAGCATGTGGTGCAGGCCCCAGAACCCCAGCATTGGGGAGGCTGAGACAGGAGGAGTCCAAGCTGTCTAGTGAGTTCCTATACCAAATAAATAAGAGATTTAAGAAACAAAAAATGAAAGTTAATTGCTATATTTTTAACTATTGTCCATCATCTCCTGGGAATTCTTTGTCAGTGACTGTCACAGCTTTTCCTGTGATATTTTCTGTTTTCTGAAGTTTTTGCTGTTCCCATAGCTTCTGCAGCTCCTCCACACCCTGGATCCCATTCCTTGCATTCCGCATTTCTCCTTGGGAGATTTAGCTTTCTGGGGTTTTGCACTCCTCTTCCTCTTCTCTGCAGCTTGGACTTGTTCTCTCACTCTTAGACCAGACCTCTGAGTCTCAGTTCTTAACTCCTTGCTCAACAAATCCAAAAGGAGAACCACTATTTTCTTATACACTGTATCACCTTTTTCCCAGTGACCTAGCCCTGTAAAATGAGATATCCCCCTCCCACTCCTCCCTCTCCCTCAGACCTGATCTCATCTGGTATATTATTCTACATACACATTGATTTCATTCAGATGTTTTCACACAGTGCCAGTCTAGGAGGAAAGCCCATTATGCTTTTGGATTGATGCAGAAACTTTGGAAATGTCAACTCCTGCAGAACTTGAAGGCCACGTTGGCTCAGTGATGAGGGTCAGTCCCTTGGGAATAGTGCCGATGGAAAGCCCATGTGGTATATAAACCCAAGTGTGTAGATTCCTGAGGATTCAGGATCTAGTGGGAGAAAGCACTTGGAGGTTGCTGGGACACATTTGAATGAGGGTTAATAAAAGATATGCACAAAATAAATTGAAATACAAATTTTCAAAATTTGCACCTTTTTATGTCATGATTCTTTAGGTTGCCCTTTCCTCATACTGGGGTTTGAACTTAGGGTCTTGCACAGGCTAGGAAGTCAGGTACATATCTGGTCCTTGCTTTTTGTTTTTTCTTTCATTC